ACAGAGAACAGAGAACAGAGAACAGAGAACAGAGAACAGAGAACAGAACAGGCCTTTTGGCCCACGATGTTGTGCCGAACTTTTACCCTAAACCCAAGGTCTATCTAACCTTATACTGCTACCTTATACTATCATCCATATGCCTATCTAATAGCCCCTTAAATGCCCCTAATGAGGCTGACTCCACTACCCTCTCCGGCAATGCATTCCACGCCCCTGCCACTCTGAGTAAAGAACCTACCTCTGACATCTCCCCGATATCTAACTCCTTTCACTTTAAAATTATGTCCCTTCGTAAAAGCTACCTTCACCCTAGGAAAAAGTCTCTGGCTGTCTACTCTATCTATACCTCTGATTATTTTGTACACCTCTATCAAGTCACCGCTCATCCTTCGTTGTTCTAAAGAGAAAAGCCCTAGCTCTCTCAACCTTTCCTCGTAAGACCTTCCCTCCATTCCAGGCAACATCCTGGTAAGTCTCCTGTGCACCTTTTCTAACGCTTCCACATCTTTCTTGTAATGAGGTGACCAGAACTGGACACAATACTCCAGATGTGGCCAAACCAGGCTTTTGTACAGCTGGAGCATAACTTCACAGCTCTTGAACTCAATCCCTCTATTAATGAAAGCTAACACACCATACGCCTTCTTAACAACTCTGTCCACCTGGGTGGGTAAATGTCTTGCTTTTATCTCTTTAAAAACTGGAGAAACAAACCAAAAATTAAATTTTAAACCATACTTCCTTATATAATAAGTGTTTCTGAAAAATTTTTCAGCAGAAACGATCATGCTCAGGGCAAAGCTTTGTGCTTGACATGTTACAATGAAAACTGATGCTGCTGTTACAAGGCTCTTATTGGAATGACAAACTTTGTTTCACTGTATAAAATGCAATTCATAACTCTACCTCTATATAGCAGCTTATGCCAAAAAGCTGATATTTAAGGTGGGGGATGGAGGAAGGATAAATAATGGAGTTATTTCTGGAAAGTTTACTTAGAATTCTCTTAATAAAGCCTCAATACAAAATACAGTGTGGGCAGAAATGGAAACAGGAAATGTCAAAGCCATTGATTAAACTTAGGCGGTTCCTGCTTTTCCACTTAAATTTTCAGAAGTCGAGCATCTTAACCTTCATACCAGGGAATAGCACTGCTCCATGACATGCACCTTGTGCACTGAAGGCAAAAGGACAGGCTGCCAGCTTTAAAGTAATTACTTTGGTAGTGGTCTGGAAGCTCACAAGAACAGCCCACTGGAGATTATCTCAATTCTCTCTCAATCGGGTCACAATTTCAGATAAGTGTGTGGATAGAAGAAAGCTAAATGCACACGTGGTGGCCCTCCAACTGGTAGTGTCATAGCAAAACCCTGAGTTGTGCTTAAATTTTAGTGCAAAAATACTGCAAGGCCTCAGAGCTGCAGCTATAGATTTCCTTTTACAATCAAACTGCCTGATATGTTATGACACACATCTGGAGCAGGTGGGACTTGAAGCCCAGCCTCCAAGATATATAATTCAACCACTACTTAAAAGTTCAGCGACAGCAATAAAACAATAGAAAGAAAACATGCAACCTGCATCTTTGGAAACCTCAACAGTGAATAGACACTGTTGGCCAAGCACAATGAGTGCATTAAAGGTTTAGCAACACAGAAGTGGAAAGGATTTAGCTCTTCATGCAGTTATACCGACAGTCAATTTACATGTAAAAATGAGTGTAATTATCTGTTCATTAATCAATAGTATACAGAATACTAGATAAGAAGCAACAGTGGTTTTGACAAAAATACCAAGCGAAGCTATCTCGGAGGCACTTTTGTATTATGTTAATTAAAGTCTTTAAGTAAATATGATTTTAAGGAAACTGTTTAAAAAAGGTGCATGGCTTAATATTGCAACAAATACAAAGCGGAGGGTATGAAAATATACAGCTCAAGACAGTTGATAGGTAGGGCAACATAGCAAATTGCAGGGGGGTTGAAAACAGAGAGCATGGGGCTGCGTAAGCGACAGGCAAGAGGGCTTGGAGCCAGGGCCAGGGTGACAGGCAGGGCAGAGATGGGGGTGGAGCGAGAGAGCGACACAACGGGAGTGGCAATAGACAGACAGAGAGGGGGCGGGAGGGGCACAGCAAGAGCGAGAGCAAGAAACAGGGTAACAGGAACACAAAACAGAGGAAACTAATTTGCAATTACATAACAATCTGGTTAGATTCTCATTTAAAGTACTACTTTCAATCCTGGGCACTGCACCTCGGAAAATCTCCATCAGCCTCTAAGAGCAGATGTAACAGGATTATGCCAGGGCCAGGAGGCTTAAAAAAGTTTGCTGACAGACACTCTGCTATCCCTGAAGTACAGAAGATAAATACAATTAGATTGGATCTTAAAGATGATGATTGAAGGTAAACAGAAACTGTTATGTTGTGGGGGAATTCATAGGGGATTATGATATCAAAATTCAGTGAGACTGCCAAGAAGCACTTCTTTACACAAGGCAATGGAAATCAGGCACTCATTAAAAATCAAGCATTTTATGACTGAGTTTAACAGTTTTATTAGGCAAGGATACAGTCCTTCTGTAGTCAAGGACTACAGAACCAACAAGACATTGATCAGTAATGACCTAATTAAATGTCAAAACAGTTCCAGGTGATATGAATGGCTTAAGTCCCCAGTGTCATGGGCAACTTTCTTCCTCAGAAAACACCAACAACTCAAAATACTTCCTTACTTTATGTGGGACCCTGTTTTCTGCCAATTGGCTGGACACTTTGCCTCTAGAACAGTACTTAGATTTCAAAAGTAATTAGTGAGTGGTGATGCACTTTGAGATATGAAACAAACAAAAAACAACAAATTCACAAGGATTGTATAGCATTAATGTGTGGGCACATACATTTGGCATGCCACAGAAGTTCTAATGTGCTTGTAATGTTGAAGGAGGATAGATCTAGAAAGGCCCCCAACAGTGGATGATTAAAATCAGGAGTGTGAAGAAGTGAAAACTAGAGGAATAGATGATAGAGGGTCATAAGGCTGAAAGAGGTTAAAGAGATCAGAGGGACATTAGAACAGAAAAACTAGCTGCATTCAATTCAAAGAAAAAGGACACCAATTTTATACATACCTGTGACATAAGACAGCCGGAAACCTTTTCCAGTGTACTTGTCATCTGAATGAAACTTAATCCAGACATGGTCCTTTGAAGAAATATAAGGTGCTGGGATGGAAGAGCCACATACTCGAGTCCCTTCAACACTTTTGTATGTTCCTATAGTTAGCCAGTCAGAACTGCACCAAGCAGAGCTCTGGATATCAAAATCCTGGAAGCTACGGCAAAAAAAAGTGCAACAATGCTCAAGTTTCGCAACAAAATATATTTAATCAAGACGAATACAATTGTGAGATTGTCAGAAATGGAGACTTTTGATGTGTAGTTAAAAAGAAATCCTGACAATTTACAAAAGATTCAATGGCATTATTTGAAGGAGTACAGAACTCACCTGAAGTCCTGGCTAATATTAGTCCCTCCTTTACCAAATATAGATTATCTATTGTTCATTTACTTGAATCATAGAATCCCTACAGTGTGGAAACAGGCCCTTCAGCCCAACAAGTCTACACCAAACCTCAAAGCATCCCACCCAGAGCCACCCCGCTATAACCCACTTAATCCACACATCCCTGAACACTACAGACAATTTAGCACGGTCAATCCACATAGCATGCACATCTTTGGACAGTGGCAAGAAACCAGAGCACCTGGAGGAAACCCACACAGATATGAGAACATGCAAACTCCCACAGACAGTTGCCCGAGGCTGGAATTGAACCCGGGTCTCTGGTGCTGTGAGGCAGCAGTGCTAACCACTGAGCCACCGTGTGTGATCTTGCTTTGCTGATTTGCCTACCATAATTGCTACATAACAAGCTGTCTCACTTATTCTTAATTCATTCATGGGATTTGGGAATCACTGACTGGCTGGTTGGGCCAGCATTTATTGTTTGTTTTGGAGGTGGTACCAGACTGCCTCTTAAACCACTGCAGACTATTTGGTTTAGGTAGAGACAATGTTGTTAGGAAGGGAATTCCAGGATTTTTGACCCAGTGACACTGAAGAAACAGTAATAATATTTCCAAGTTAGGGCTTTGAGTGGCTTGGAGAGATGTTTGCAGGTTGTGGTGTTGTCATCTATCTGCTGCCCGTGTCCTTCTAATTGGTAGTAATCAGGGATTTGGGATATGCTGTCTAATAAGCCTTGGTGAATTTCTGCATTCCATCTTAAAGATGATACAAACTGCTGTTATTGAGTGTCAGTGATGGAGAGAATGAATGGTTTTAATCATAGAATCCCAACAATGTGGAAACAGGTCATTCGGCCCAACAAGTCCACACCACTGTTCCGAAGAGCATCCACCCAGACCCTTTCCCCTACCCCTGCATTTCCCTTGTCTAACCCACCTAATCTAAACATCTCTGGGCAATTTAGCATGGCCAATCCACCTCGCCTGAACATCTTTGGACTGTGGGAGAAAACCGGTGCACCTGGAGGAAACCCACACAGAGAATATGTAAACTCCACACAGACAGTCACCCGAGGCTGGAATCGAATCTGGTCCCTGGCGCTGTGAGCTGTGCTAACCACTGAGCCACCGTGCTGCCCCAATGTTTTTAAATGTTCTGCTTCTAAAGAAGTTAATTCATTAGAAAACTCTTTAGACTTTCCTGATACAAAGCCCTACGTAAATGTAAGATTTCCTTATACTTATTTAACCTCCTTTAAAATCTTTGATGTACAGTTTTGTTTGCATGGTAAGTCAATCCCCAATGAGTGCTCTGAAATTTTAATTTATTTTATAAAGTTCATTATCAAAATATTGTTGCTGTATCCTGTCCTGATCTATTACAGATTACAGCAATTCAAAAGGGTTTTTAAAAAATTCCTTCACAATGTGTGGGCATGACTAGTTTGACAAGCATGTACTGCCCTAGATAGGAGGTGGCAAGGTGCCTTTTTGAACTACAGCAGTCTGTGGGTGCAGGGGAAAAGAGTTCCAGAATTTTGACTAAGTGACAGTGGAGGAACGGTGATGCTACCAGTCAGAATGGTATGTGGCTTAGTGGGGAACTTGAAGATGGTGGCATTCCTGTATATCTACTGCCTAAGTGGTAAGAGTCTCAAGTTTGGAAGGTGCTGTCTGAGGAGCTTTGGTAAGTGGTTGCAATGTATCTTGTAGAAGGGTGAAGTGTGTGAATGTTAAAGGCAGTGGATAGCATGCCAATCAAGTGGACTGCTTTATTCTCAATGGCATTGAGCTTCTTGAGTGTTGCTGGAAGTGTACTCATCGAGCAAAATCAAGAATATGCCATCATATACCTGATTTGATGTTTATGGATGATAGAATTAAAGGACGAGTAATTTGCTACTGATTCCCCAGCATCTGATCTGCTTTTGTAGCGATAGTGTTTACATGGCTGGTGCACTGATTACTTCACTGAGGAGTCACAAATGGCACTGAACATTGTTCATTCATCAGCATGGTGGGGCGACACGGTGGCTCAGTGGTTAGCACTGCTGCCTTACAGCGCCAGGGATCCAGGTTCGATTCCACCCTCAGGTGACTGTCTGTGTGGAGTTTGCACCTTCTCCCTGTGTCTGCGTGGGTTTCCTCCCCCAGTCCAAAGATGTATAGGCTAGGTGGATTGGCCACGCTAAAATTGTCCCATACTGTTCAGGGATGTGCAGATTAAGTGGTTATAGTGGGATGGGTCTAGGTGGGATGCTCTATTGGTTGGTATGGACTTGTTGGGCCGAAGGGCCTGTTTCCACACTGTAGGGAGTACTGAGCAAAAAGTGACCTTATGATGGTGGAAGCATCTGAAGATGGTTGGCAGCTGAATGGCCTTGTTGAAACCCAACATGTGTCAGCACATGGATGCAGGAAGGATGGTTGCCCTGGCTTCTTGCGTTCATCAACAACGGGATTAAATTCACAAGAAGAAAAAAAAAGCAACAATCAGCTTCCGTTTCTGGACGTCAGAGTTGAACCTATGATCAATGGGGAGTTCCAAACCTTAGTATACAGGAAAGCAACCCACACTGACCAAATCCTCAATTTACAAGCAACCACCCCAACGTCCACAAAAAAACAAGCTGCATTAGGACACTATTTAAACAGGCCACCACTCACTGCAACATGCCAGAACATCGCAGGAAAGAGGAAGAGCACCTACGCAAAATTTTTGTTATGAACGCACATCCCCGCAACATCCACAGGTACCTACTAAATAGACAACAACAATAGGACACAGTACACCCTAACACACTGGCCACACTGCCCTACGTCAAGAACACATCAAAACTGACAAGACTCCTACAACCACTAGGAATCATGGTAACACACAAGTCCACAGCCACTCTTTGATAAGCACTTAAGGATTAGAGACCCCATTCCCAAAACATGCAGAACCAATGTAGTTTACAAAATACCATGCAACGACTGCTACAAGCATTTCATCAGACAGACAGGAAGGAATCTAGCCATCAGAATACACGAACATCAGCTAGCAGCAAAACGACATGACAAACCTTCCTTAATACTAGTACACTCCGACAACGAAGGCCATCAGTTTAACTGGAACAACGTAACCATACTAGCCCAAGCCAAACACAGACATACATGGGAATTCCTAGAGACACAGTTCTCAACCCAGAATGTAATCAACAAACATAAAATTGGACGCCATACACAAACACATACGGAACAAAACTGGAAATGGCATTACTCACCGTAATGGACCAGACAGTATAAATTCCAAGCGGAGTAAAACAACAGCGCTTCATCGGAGGCCTCACTGATGATGTTACCTAGCATGGTGATGCAACATCTGAACAAAAAAAAAGCCAACTCGGCGAGCAAGTCAACAACCTCACCCACAACACGAGCTACAAATATTTGATAAAAGTTTTATCAAGTTGTAGCAAGACTACTTTGCTTTTATATTCTATGCCCCAGCTAACGGAGGCAAGCATCCCATTTGCCTTCTTCACCATCCTATCTACCTGTGCTTACACCAAAGATCTATGGACTTGTACACCAAGGTCCCTTTGTTCCTCAATGCTCCCTACAGACCTAGCTTTGTGTATATCATTCCCTTATTGGGCCTCCCAAAATGCATCACCTTGCACTTGTCAGGGATAAATTCCATCTGCCATTGCTCTGTCCAATTTATTAGCTGATCAATATCGAACAGCAGACATCCTCCTCACTATCAACAACTAACCAACTTTTGAGTCATTTGCAAACTTACTAATTATACCTTCTACATTCACATCCAAATCATTAACGTACCTAACAAACAGCAAGGGTAGCAGCATCAATTCCTGAGGTACGCTGCTGGTCATAGGCTTCCAATCACAAAAACATCACTCCACATTACACTCTGCCTCCTGTTTGCAAGCCAATTTTGGATCCAGTTTGCCAACTCACCTTGGAACCCAAAGGCTCTTACCTTTTGGACCAGTCTTCCATATTGGATCTTGTCAAAGGCCTTGCTGAAGTCCATGCAAACCACATCAACTACACCACGCTCATCATTATATTTACTCACCGTTTTTGAAAAAAAAACTGTCAGATAGGATCTCCCCTCAACAAATACATGCTGACTATTCCAGATCAATCCCTATCTTTCAGTGTTGATTAATTCTATCCTACAGAATTTTTTCCAATAATTTCCCTTCCAATGACATCAGGCTAACTGTTCTGAAATTACCTGGCCTATCCCTGCTGTTCTTCCTGAAAAAAGATCATAGAATCCCTACAGTGTGGAAACAGGCCCTTTGGTCCAACAAGTCCACACCAACCCTCAGAGCATCCCACCCAGACCCATCTCCTATAACTCACCTAATCGACACATCCCTGAACACTATGGGCAATTTAGCATAGCCAATCCACCTAGCCTGCACATCTTTGGACTGTGGGAGGAAACCGGAGCACCCGTAGGAAACCCACGCAGACACGAGGAGAATGTGCAAACTCTACACAGACAGTCACCAGAGGGTGGAATCAAACCCAGGTCTCTGGAGCTGTGAGGCAGATGTGCTAACCACTGAGCCACCGTGCCGCCCCAAAGTGGAGGTGCCCAGCATGGGTCTCGAACACACAACCCTGAGATTAAGAGAGTCTTGTGCTTGACCACCCGAGCTAGCCGCACGTTAAAGGAATCACATTAACTATCCACCAATCACCTGGCACTTCACCTGAAGTCAGGAAGTACTAAATATCTCATCCAGGGCCCCAGCAATCTTCTCCCCCCCCCACCTCCCTG